CCAGAAGGTGAGGTGTTTGTTAGATTTGTAGGAGCCAGGGAACCAGAAGGCAAGGAAGGAGCATATTCCAAGCACGGGGGATTGCCAGTGAAAAAGCGTGGGGTGGGAGGAATCACGTGTGAGGAACAGAAAGATGGCCAGTATCTCTATACCATAGGACACATGGAGGTAGGTAAAGTACAAGAATATTGGAAAGGTAAGAAGGAGCCAGGTTATGAAGGGCTTTAAAAGCCAAACAGGAGATTTTTATATTTGACCTTGGAGCTAAAAGGAAGCCATTGGAGTTTAAAGGGAATGGGAATGACCTGGTCGCATCACTTTGGCAACTGAATGGAAGATGTATGGGAGAGACTTGAGGCAGGTAGCCCAATCAGCAGGCTATTGGAAGAGTCTGTGTGGGAAGTAATGATGATGAATGGCTGCGTATTGTCTCCAGGATAAAATATAAAGACCTCAGCTTAGCATGTGAAGACCTCCATGGTCTGGCTACCACTTACCAGGTTTGTTGCACATGATTCCCCTTCGTGCATATTCCAGACAAACTGGCTTGCTTGTGGCTCCTCAGCCCCAGCACTGCACTGCCCTCCTCTGTAGCTTCTCCCGGGCAGCTCCCTGCCGGACTACACCTAGAAGGCATTCTTATCTGTGTCTCTGAGAATCCCTCCAAGACTCAGATTCTAAGACTGTGTCTCTGTCTGTCTCTCCAGATGATCACTTATATATGTACCTGTTTACAAGTTGTATTCTCATGGTAGAATAGAGAATCTATTGATTGTCTTCCTATCCTCAGAACCTAGCCCTTTTGTCTTGAACTTAGTAGACATTTAACAAATATTCACTGGCTTGGGTTTTCTCTCTCTAGAATAGCCCAATTCAAGCTAAGTTTGAGGTCTTCTCTCCCCCTTCTAGGGTTCCAGCTCTCTCCTGGGTCTTTCTTTTCCTTCCCCAGAGCTCTTGTGATGCCTTAACTGCCCAACACTTGTACATGTCATGATTGAGTATCCATTCTTCCCTCCTTTCCATGACTCATAAAAACTTACCCGGTCCCCATTTTATCCCACTGTAAAGTTGAGCCCTTTTTATAAAGCCTCCCAAAATTACAATTAGCTACTCAGATAAATAATCCATGTTTACTTGCTCACGTGAACACCCTAAAAATACTCTTAGGATCTTCCCTCCTCTCCTAGCTAACATGAACATTATAAATGTGACCTTCTAGAGGTAATAATACCACTTGTCATCACTCCCAGAAGTGTGATTTTTAAATGTGTAAATTTGAGGCCATTAAGGAAGGTGGAATCATGGCAACAAAGCAGCTGAGAGTTGGTGGGGCCTTATGCTTTTTAATTTAAGAAAAATAGTAGAAACAATCCATTTGGGCAAAGAGCTTGCCTTAGCCAGACATATATGGTCCAAAAGGCACTACCAGGTCTCTTCCTCCTTATCCCTTTTAGAAGGCATGAGGTGGCATAGAACAGAAGTGAGAACACTGGCTCTGTAATCAGAAGGCCTGGATCCACCTCTGATGCTTACTCCATATGTCACCTTGGGCAAATCACTTAACCTTCATGGACCTCAGTTAACTCATTTTCAAAATAAGGGAGTTGGATTAAATGATGTCTTAGGAATCTTCCTTCTCTAGATCCATTATCCTAATCATAGAATTTGGACTTCTGTTGCAAGTACTAAAACTTGCACACCAATATAGAACATGGCTTTGGAAGATCCCCAGAAAAATTTGAAAATCAAACCAGCTCCCTCCAATTAAGCAGATATTGGCTATGGGTTTTGGATCAGTCCAGAGATGTGATTAGCACTAACCTAACTTGTATATTCTGCATAATTTTCATTATACATGTTTATATTTTTTGCAGCTTGAGGTTAACTATATCAAAGCTTTTCCTGAATAATCTAGAGTTGGCTTAATTACATTCTTCATATGCTTACCAAAATATTATCTCATTATTCAAATATCAGACTCATGGGGAAAATCTGTGCAACCTTTTCCCCTAAAGTTCTGGCTGGGTTTGAGATTTTGTTTCCCAAATGCAGGACGTGGAAATAATGATCTTTCAAAGTCACTACCACTTTTATAATTACCAAAGATACTTGAAGCCAGCAGTGTGCTGGTAAATGTTCAATAACCAGCTCTCAAAACAAATTTTTTAGTTTAATCTGCATGAACACTTTCTCCACCAACTTAATCACTCTAGACAACCGACAAAACAACAAATCATGCTGTGATTTGTAGTGTTTGCTCATTTCTGCGATGTAAATGCTCACAATGAAAATTTAACAATCAGCTCTCATAAGCTGGTTTGAGCTGACTCCAACACACCCCCTGCATGAAATATCATGCTTTGCATGCAAGTGTTTGATAAAAATGTATTGAATTAAGTTTAAAAATTGCACCCTGACAGAAAAAAGATTAAAGTGGCATAGTAGATAATATCAGAATGGGGTTGGGGGACCTTAAGGCCTGGGAAGCTAATGTCAGAGGGAAAGGTCTATTTTGCTAAATGGAATTTGAAATGAATCGGGGACAACTTAATCAATCAATCAGAAAGCATTTACTATGGTCGTACTATGTGGTCACTGTGCTAAATGCCAGATATTACAAAGAAAGGGGAAAAAATAGTCCCTGCCCTCCAGGAGCTCACATTCTAATGAGGGATGCAAATAACTTGGTACATACATGGTATGTAGGTGGGAGGCAGTCTCAGTGAGGAAGTCACTAGCAAGTGGGGGGCTGGAAAAGGGCTCTTGTAGAAGGTGGGCTTTATAGGAAGCCAGGGAAACTAGGAGGTGAAGGTGAGAAGTGAGAGCATTCTGGGCATGGGGAACAGAGAAGCTGGCTTCAGCCCACCCTTGGGCAAGGAAGAGCGGCAAGGAGTCATGGATGACATTGACATTGTGAGCCTAGGGTAAAGGGAAGATGGTAGTTATCTTCCACAATAACAGGAACGTTGAGAAAAGAGAAGATTTTGGTGAGGGGAAGGAGGGGTATGAGAATAATGAGTTCTGCTTTGTACATGTTGAGTTTGAAATGTTTACTCGATAACCAGTTCAAGATGTCTGATAATTTATGATGCATGACTATAGGGAATGTTTTATGACTTTTATAAAATCAATATGCAGACAGTCTCAAACTGATAACATTAAATGAAATGTACCTACTGGGTGCTCCATTCAACTTAAATGACTGTAACTAGCTTGCTTATGAAGTTATGAGAATTTAAAAATGCTCTGGTAAAAAGAAAATTCTCAAGACAACTTTTGTAATTCCGCCCATTTTTCACAGACTTCAGATATTTCCTATTCCCACTCAATTATGATTCAGTGGTGGCTTCTGGTAACGGCAGTGGGTGCTATATGCAAGCTGCATACGAGGGATTAGTCATCACAGGCTACCGAGCTGGAAACCCAAGACATATCAAACAGACCTCGTCAGTGCTTACTGTCTGTCTGAAGGTCTGACTAATCGAAGGGTCAAAATAAAAGAAGAATGGCTATGGAGCAAATCAGAAGGTGAAAATTCTTTGCAAAGAAGGAGAACCCACAATTTTGTTTCCTAGATTCACCCACCTTATTTCCCTTCTCTTGTCCTGGGGCTTGTCATTTTTATTCTTCATGTATTTTCTTTATTCAAGACATTGCCAATTTCTTTGTAAACCATATTCTTATATATGATTGATTTTTTTCTTCCACTAAGAATAATACTTAATAATTACTTAATAATACTTATTATTAATAATAATAATACTTAAATAACTATCATAGGTTACCTATTACATGACTTCTCTAATATTGAGTGCAAAATATTTGCATTTTTTAAAAAAAAAGGTTGGATAAAGAATGGTTAGAAATTCTTATTTTAAATAATACATGATTTTTTTGTTTGAAATGGTACTCCCTCCACTAACGTAAATTACAGTCCCATGATGTCTTCGTAGACTATTCCGCGAGTTTCCATGGCCAAAAATAATATATCACCAGATGACCAAGTGTCTGGTGTTTCTCCCAACTTTACCAGATTGGTCCTTAGATGATAATCAGCTAGGTTACATGGTGGATAGAATGTTAGACTTAGAGTCATGAAGACCAGATTTTGAATCCTATCTCAGAATCTCACTAGTTGTGTGACCTTGTGCAAGTCACTTAACTTCTCTCAGACTCAGTTCCCTCATCTGCAAAATGGGGATGATAATAGCATCTACCTCACAGGTAAGGATCAATTGCGATAATATATGTAAATTTTTTTTGCCAACCTAAAGTGTTATATAAATGCTATCATTATTACAATACCCCATTGCTAAGTACAGACTCAAAGCCTTTATGTTAGAAATTGACATTCTGCTAGAGATCCTGTTCCACTGGCATAGCTGTCAAGATTCAAAGTTCATGTCCATGCCACAATGAGACCTCAGATCATGACTTAGGTAGAGGAGTTAGAATTTCATTGTAGTAAATTCTATCAAATTTCATCTTACAATTTTCCAAATGAATAGTGAAGACTAACTCTCAATAATTTAAAAATCTGAAATATGTTGTATCTTCCTATGACTAATTCCCAAGGATTATTTCTGAAACACATGAAAGTTTCTAGCAACTTTCCAAAGACAGCTGGCTTACCTGACATAATTTTAGGAGCACCCAAAACCCGGTTTCTTTTAAAATATCTCCCTCTAGGTGGCTACCACGTAGAGTCAGTTCTGCTATAATACTTGCAAATTTGCTCCAGTGGGATTGATATACTAGAGAACAATTTGAGTATAATGCAAATTTCACAGTTCCTTATGTACAAGTTTGTTAGCAAGGGATAGAAAACTACACCCAGCTGAACAAAGCATAAAATGCTCACATATACCAATCAGCCCACCTCAATTCACTTTGTATGTTTTCCTGCAAGGCTGAATAACACTGTACAATATGTTCTCCTACAAGGTTGGATAACCACTTCACAATAACTCACATGCTGCAACCCTTTCCACAAACAAACTTCAGGTCTTAGTGGAGGTGAAGTGCCATATTTCCTGCATAAGTAACCCAGCCCTCAGGTCCTCCAACACACAGATAGAGTAGCCTCCTTTCATTGGCCGCCCGCATCTTTAAAACTGGTGAGAGGTGAGTTTGTTTCTCTCTTTCCATTATCTTTTCAGCTGTGCTTCTAGATGTACAAGAACTGAACCAAGAGAGGGGGGAAGGTACTTGACCACTCTTCTGCCTGGGGTTGTTTCTGCTTTGTGTTATTTGTCCTCAGTTCCAGGGGTCAGAGGTGATCCTCCTGGACTGGGAGTTTGAGCCACGGTGATCTTGGAGCCAGGATTGCAGGGAGGCCAGAGTAGAAGCCATGAGAATCCAGAGTATCTGGGATACAAGCCTGAGGGGAGTTTGGACTTGGACCTAGGACTGTACTCTATAGAAACCAGGTTAAGCTATGAATCTAATCCCTTTCCATGAATAAATCAATTGATAAATGTTTATTAAATGCCTATTATGTGTCAGGCACTATGCTAAGTGCTAGGGATACAAAAAGAGGTAAAAGACAGTCCCTGCCCTCAAGGAGCTCATAATCTAATGGAGGAAATGACATGCAAACAAATATACAAAGCAAGCTATGTACAGGATAATTAGGAAATAATTAAAACAAAGAAAGCACTGGAATTAAGAGGGGTCAGGGAGGGCTTCTTCTAGAAGGTGGGGTTTTAGTTAGGATTAAAGGAAGCCAGGGAGGTCAGTAGTTGAGTGGAGAAGGGAGTGTGTTCCAGGCATGGAGGACAGCCAGAGAAAATGCCCAGAACTGAGAGATGGAGTGTCTAGTTCACGGACCAGTCAGGAAGCCAGTGTCACTGGATGGAAGACTATGTTGGGAAGTAAAGTGTAAGAAGACTGGAAAGGTAGGAGAGGGCTACACGATAAAAGGTTTTGAATACCAAACAGATCATTTTGTATTTGTTCCTGGAGGTGATAGGGAACCACTGGAGTTTACTGAATGGGGGTGGAGGGTGGAGCGTGTAAAATGATCATACCTGTGTTTTAGGGAAAGCACTTTGGCGGCAGAATGGAGGAAGGTCTGGATAGGAGAGAGACTTGAGGCAGGCAGATGCGCTAGCAGGCTACTGCAATAGTCTAGCCATGAAATGATGAGGACCGGCACTAGAGCAGTGTCAGTGACAGAGGAGAGAATCAGTAAAAGGGAATAGATTCCTTTGGAAAAGCCTCTTCTGGAACAGTAGGAACTGTGGGCTGAAGAGGATTCATTCAACCCTACCTCCTCACCCCCCCGCCCAATCCTCTGGAGTTGTGGTCCACTGAGGCCACCTGCTCCACTGCAGTGACTTTATTTTGCTGGCATGAGGCCTGTAGGAAAAAAGGTATAGGCTGAGTGCGGACACTGTCACAACTTACTGTAATATTTATGTTTTTCTTAGCCATTTAACATGTATTACAAAACTGTACTGCTGCTCTTTTAGGTTCCTTTCTTTTTTAAATGTGCCACTGATGAAGTTTTTGAGCATTGTGCCTCAACTTCATTTTCCCTGTAAGTCCTGTGGTTTTTACTGGAAATTTTTGCATAGTGGGCTCATATATGTCATGTTATGTCAGAACTCACTGTACCTGACATTTCTACTGTTAGTCACTCCTTTAGCATAAGAACTTAAGGCATTTCCCCTACAGAATCAGAGAGGTTAGAGATCATCTAATCTGAACTCATACAGATTGGGAAACAGCCTGAGAGAAAGGAAATTACTTACTGAAGATAATCATTACAATGGCTAGCATTGATAGATGTCTTTATATAATACTAACATCTCCACTTTACAAATATTTTCTCATTTTTATCTTCAAGATAACCATGGGAGGCAGGTGTTATTATTGTCCCCATTTTACAGATGAGGAAACTGAGAGCAACAACGATTAAGTGACTTTTCTAGGCTCACCTAAGGACTTTCAACATTGTGTAGGTATGCCAGTGCAACAGATCACCCATTATCTCTTACTTTCATTGTATGACAAGTCTACATCCTTTTCCAACCATACATATCCAAGATAACAACAATATTATAAAGAAAAACAGCCCTGAAAATACTTGAGAATTTTGATCAATGCAATAATAAACCATGAGTCCAGAGGACTGAAGAAGCATACTACCTACCTCCTGATGCAAAGGTGATGGATTCAAGATAAAGAATGAGGCAGACGTTTTTGAACGTGGAAAATGTGGACCCTGACTTCGCTTAATTATGCATATTCGTTATGAGGGTTTTCTTTTCTTTTCTTTTTTCTTGACTGGATGTGGAGTCAGGAAGACTTAAGTTTCAAATCCTGCCTCAGCCACTTAATTATTGGTGTGACTCTGGGCAAGTTGCATAATATATTCAGCCTCACTTTTGTCATCTATAAAACAGAGATAATAATAGCAATTACATTCCAGGATTCTTGTGAAGATAAAATAAAATAATATCTGTAAAGTACTATGTAACCTTAAAGCACTATGTAAATTTTAATTATTATGAAGGAGGGAAAGGTGGCAAGGAGAGAAAATAACTTTAATTGAAAAATAATAAAATCAAAAGTTTAAAAAAGAGGTGGTTTTATGTCAGAGGGCACAACCATCTCCAATTATGAAACCAGCCAACACATAGTAGGTACTTAAATTCTTATTGACCAATCTACTGACTGATTTGCAGTATCTCTCTGAGTTGTATACACTCAGAGGCCAATTCAATGGAACGTCCACCCAAATATCTTTCAGAGACTGCCTAATAGGGTCGTAGTCACTGAAGAAACCGAAAAGAACTGTGCAAAACTAATAGCCATTTTAAAATTGTTCGTTTTGTGTATAGTCATGGCCAAATAATTTATCACATAGTGACTAACCTACAGTTAGCCTTTCCATACTTAGCTGTCCTGAAACAGCAGACCAGGATGTTTCTGGGCCAAAACATAAAGCTTTTCTAGCTGGGCTTTCAGAGAAGTTATGCTCCATTGAGAATCCAGGGTCATCTCTGTGCAACCATGAGACATCAGAGGAAGACTTCTGTGGAGAAAATGTCTGGATTAAGTTTACTCCATCTAGTCAGAGTGTCTTACCACAGTAAGGAAACCAAGATGCAGTCAGCAATAGCCCTAAAAAGAGCAACAGCCATGTTCTCATGCTGAGGCAGTCTCAAGCAAGCAGATCAAAACTGGGTCAGCGTTGAACTTCTTTGATCACCGTTTGTAGTCTGACCCATCTTTCAGCTATTTCAAAACGTACTGTATTTGGATAAAGGGAAAAGAATTATTAAGAACATAATTCTCCCTTCTCTCCTGCTTCAGCTGGGTTTTTAAGGAAGTGTGGCATTCTGTGAGGAAGAGATGAGAAGAGAACACATTTCAGGTATGGCGGATGGCCAGTGCAAAGGCACGCAGATGGAAATCTGAACTCATTATCTTTCCTGACAAACTGGACCCTCTGTCAAACTTCCCTCTTACTGTCTGGGGTGTCACCATCTTTCCAGGCATCTAGTCTCTCAAACTAGCTGAGCTTGGCTCCTCACTCTCTCTTATCTAATCCCCATAACTAATCTGTGGATAAATTCTATTGCTCTACCTTCATAACATCTCTCACATACATCTCCTTCTCTCCTCTGACACTGTCACAGTTGGTGAAGGCCCTTATCATCTCATTCCTGGACTATTATAGTAGCCTTATTGTTGTTCTTCCTGCCTCATCTTTCCCCATGCCAATCCCTCCTCCATTTGTCAAATTTATCTTCCTAAAGCAGACATCTGACCATATCATCAAGCTATTTAGTATACTCTTATGGTTCCCTATTACCTCCAAGATCAGATATAAATCTTCTTTTGGCCTTTAAAGGTCTTCATAATCTTGCCCCTTCTTATATTTCTAGTTTTCTTACCTCATACGCCACTCTCCTCTCCTACGTTCTCTGGGATCCAGTAACACCAGCCTTTCTGCTGTTTCTTTAACTAAACAGTCCATTTCCAACTCTGGGACACTTTCACTTGCTTTCCCCTATGTCTGGAATGTTCTACCACCTCTTGGCTTCCTCCAAGTCTTGGCTCAAACTCTACCTTCTGCAAGAGGCCCTTCCCAAGGTGGTGCAGTGGATAGAGCACTGGCCCTGGATTCAGGAGGACCTGAGTTCAAATCTGCCCTCAGACACATAACACTTACTAGCTGTGTGATCCTGGGCAAGTCACTTAACCCCATTGCCTAACCAACCAAACAAACAAACAAAAAACCCAGAACAAAACAAAACAAAAAAAGAGGCCTTTCCCAATTCCCCTCAATTCTCATTTCTTCCCTATAAGGCTATCTCCAAGTTCTACCCCTCCCCCTTCCACATACACTGCTAGTGCCTTCCCATCTGGGATCACCTTCTATTAACACTATACATAGGTACACACACACATACACACACGTGTATGTATATATGTATGCATGTATATACACATACATATATGTGTATGCATGTATAGAAATGCATATGTGCTTATATACATTATGTGTGCATATACATCTCTATACATACACATATATGTATGTGTGTATATACATGCATTCATACATATATGTATATATATATACAGTATATGCACATAATTGTTATTACGTGTGTGGTGTGTGCACATAATTGTTTGCATGTTGTCTCCTCCATTAGAATGTGAGCTTTTTGAGGATGGGGACCTTGTTTTTGCTTTTTTTTTCCATCCCTAGCACTTACCACCATGCCTGGGACAAAGTAAATACATATTAAATGTTTGTTCATTGATTGATTGAGCAATACATTGCTGAGGGAACTGGTGTTCCTGTATGGTCCTTAGTATATCTGTTTCCCATGTTTTTCATGTCCCAAGGGCATTATTGCATATCAGGCCATCCTTGCTGAGATGCCCAAAGGCTTGAGCACAGAGTAAACCCAAGAGTTTGGTGTTGATGCTTCTTTTACAAGATAACTGACAGACAGTCCTTGATAACACTAAGGTAACCCCCACCTTTTTGGGTGTGTCAGTTTCAAAGGTCATGGAACCCTGACTGCAACACCAATATGGAGACTACCCTCTATAATGCTGAAGAGTCTGATAGAGGCATATATAAGCTTGACCAACCAGCTTTTAGGAATCACAAAAAATCATTACTTAGCTTGGGCCTTATCAAGAAGGCTCCATATTGGTTTAGAGATCAGAACCTTGGAGCTGGAAGAGACCTTGGGTGCCTTCTAGTTGAATGTATAACTAAACCAGAAACCCCTTCACAACTATGCTACAAAGGGGCCATACAGCTACTGACTGAAAAAACCACCAGATAAATATTGGACAACAGCTATCATAGCTTCACCCAAGTTTTCTCTTCTCCAGACTTCCTAGTTCATTCAACCAATCATCATGCGGCATGTGGTGTCTCCTGGTACTGTGGATACTATAATAGTGGCTAGCATTTATACAGTGCTTTAAGGTAGCAAAATGCTTTACAAATATTATCTCACTTTGTCTTCATGACATCTATGGGAGATAGGTGCTATTATATCCCTATTTTATAGACAAGGAAACTGAATCTGAGATAGATAAGTGACTTGCTAGTAAATATTACACAGCCAGTAAATATCTGAGGCTGGATTTGAACTCAGGTTTTCCTGACTCCAGGTCCACCACTCTATCCCCTGTACCTCCTTGATGTCTATGGTGGCTTACCAGAACCTCTGGTTGCAACACCACTTCCAAATCTTCCTTTTGTGATTATCTCCAATTTGTCCTGTTTATAGCTTGTTTATATGTGATTGTTTGCATGTTGTCTCTACTTTAGATTATAACCTTCTCGAGGGCAAATATAATATTTGCCTATGATTGAATACCCAGAATTTAGCACAATACTGGCATATAGTAGGTACTTCACAAGGGCTGAAAAACTGAATGCATAAAGTAGTTTCTACCAGCTACCTGCTATGTGCCAGGCACCCATGCTAGGTGTTGAGCATGCAAATGTAAAAGTGAGACACTCCCTTGCTTCAAGAACTTACATTCTAACATGGGATACCACCCACGAAGGGGAGTCACAGTGGCCCAGGAAGAGAATTTTAGTCACTATCCTGACGTTTCCAATCGCAATGGTAGTGATCTAATTACTGTTCCCATAGCACAAAGAGGGTGAACCCAACCAGGCCTTTCCAATATTCAACAAAAGCCTAGCTAAAGCCAAAAATTGCTAAATCAGGCACATAAGAGAGAGTGGAGGGATGCTCTCTGCTGAGGTAGTATCGGCACTTTAGCATTCAAGGCAACCCAAGCAGGATGTAGCCACTGCCATGCTTACAGTAACAGAAATAGGTATTTGCATCTGTAAATGAATTCCAACTACCAAGCCCTCTTGTTCTATGAGAAGGAAGTACTAATGAAAGAATTCAGAAATGGTCTAAATGAGAGCATAAAGCATTACTTAGCAGAGCATCCTGTGCCTAGGATTTGGCAGCTTTAAGGGATTAGTATACAACAGTTTAGTTCAAGGACTGTCCAGAAGACAGGAAAGGAGGGGCCAGGAAGACTACACAAAGCCACTAAAATAAGAATTTCCAAAGGTCGTGAAGCTAGAGGCCAAGCAGACACTGCAATCTCTAAGAAACTGGCAGAATTAGGTTTGTTGTAGCCTGTACTCCCAGCGCCACACTTCTGATGAAATGGCCTATCAGTGTTGCCGGGAGCAGAATGATACAGACAGGGCCATAGGAAGAGCAGAGAACCCTGAAACTGGCCAGTAGAGATTACAGGGAAGATAGACTTGTAGGGTATGGAGCTTATCAAGACTTATGTTTCCAGGATATAGATCCAAATCTCCGGCCATGGTGATGCAGAAAACAACCAACCAAGGAAGGGTTCCCTCAGAAACAAGGGAAAAGGCTCTAGAAGTAGAATCTCACTCATGGTCACAGGTTAAGGAGAGTTTAATTGGGCCAAGGACTAAACCAAGCAGGAAACTTGGGCAAGTATACTGCTCAGAATTTAGTACAAAGTTTCTTAACCTGGGGTCTGTGGATGTTTTTTTTTAAACATTTTGATAACTGTATTTCACTATAACTGATTTCCTTTGTGATCTTATACATCTTCTCATATGCATTTAAAAATATTACTCTGAGAAGTGGTCCATAGGCTGCACCAGACCGCCAGTGAGGTCCATCATGCACAAAAAGGTTAAGAACCCTTGGTTAGCATGAACGTGCCATGTACTATTTTAAGGAGAGAACATGTTTTGATCATGTTACCATGTATGACAAATCCAGATGACTGGGATGGGTATGGTATGCCAGAAAACCAGAATTCGGGGGTAGGGGGCGGTGGAAGAAAAACTTCAAAGTCAACTTTCTGTTCTTAAGACTCAAGGAGGTCTTCAGTTCCTAGAAATTTGAACTCTCCCTAGATGATACACTTAGATATGAGCTGTTTTTGAAGAAAGCCCAGATTGAGTACTTTATTAAAACCGTTTGAAATTCCATCTCCCGAAAGCATCTGTATGGAGAGTAAAGGACACAGGAATATGTGTTTATTCACAACTCCTCTTGTAATTTTATCCAGTATGCTCTGGGATGGTGGTTTCAAACTCTCTCCTGCTGCTTCAGTTTGGCTAAGGTTTCATATATCGTTCTACATAATATCATAGTAATTTGGAATCTATGAAAAGTATACAGCTCAGTTTCCTCAGTAGCAGACAACAAAACTAAACTAAACCTTAAGAAACAAAGGTGGAGAGAAGACAAGAGAAAGAAGCAACAGCTTTATTTGAGTATTTTAGAAATCAGCTTCCAATTGGCCTGTTTCATTTAATTTGTTCCTTTCCCTCTCCCTTCAAGGTCTGTTGTTGTGGTCCTGACAGAAGCAAGGCTGGTGTCTAATCCAGTACAAGGAAGTGGTCTCCTTGGCAACCATAGCCACAGGCAGGCAGCTTGAACTTCTTCCTCCTTTCTTTGCTGGGGTTTGTTTGGTTTCCAGAGTACTTCAAAACATTTGAACCGCTGAGGAATCTGGCACGGAATACCTGACTTTGTAGAAATAGTTAGAAGCGGAACATGAGATAAAATATCCAAACAGTTACTACGCATTAAACAATGATCATTTTCAGGTATCCTGGCTGTGCCTGCATTAATCTGGCCCTGGAAGGACTAACGCTGAGAGGCTGGTATTAAAAATGCAAAATAAATGACCATGCCAAGCACGCCATAAAAATTTTAAAAGTGTAGCAGCCCAAAATGCCAAAGACCAGGTAAAAGATACTGTTTCACATAGGAAATGGTTTTTACCTCGCATTTCATTTTCACTAACTTGAAGTATATAAAACCTCACAAATACATGCTGAATTCAAGTGGAAAAGAGACAAGATCTCTATGTTATCCACTACAACCCATTCATTTGGTAGATGGCACTCGAAGTTACGCTGGGATCAGGAATGTCCATGAAGAATGGCTGTAATAGTTTTTAGAGAGCTTAGAAAAGCCTGACTGTTACAAACATCTTTATTTAAAAGCAAATGTTTGACCAGGGCATGGAAGTTGGGAGATCATCCTTTTATCTCTTTGATTACTCCCTTTCATACATCAGTATTTTGCCATATATCAATTTCTCCACAGGAAAATGGAAATACTGCTTATCCTTGATTAGAGGGATGGTGGAAGGATTAATAAGAGCATCTGTAAAGTGACTGACATTCTTCAGAGAAAGACACTCAATATAACATTATGAGTTCTCCCTCTGGAATATCAACATGGGAAAGAGTTTGAAGAAAGAAAGAGAGAAATGAAGGAAGGAAGGAAAGAAGGAGGGAGGGAGGAAATAAAAAGAGACAAAGAAAGGAAAAAGAGAAAGAAAGAAGGAAGGAAAGGAAGAAAGGAAAGAGAGAAAGGAGAAGAAAGGAAAGAAAAAAGAAAGGAAAAGAAAAAAGAAAGAAGAGAGAAAAAAGAGAAAAAGAAGAAAAAAAAGAAAAATTGAAAGAAAATTAGAAAGAGAAAAAGAAATAGAGAAAGAAAAGAGAAGAAAAAGAAAAAGACCTTCTCCAAATTATATGACTTTAGAAGTATGTCAAGACTTCCTGGAGTCATAAGAATTGAGCTGTAATTACATAGTGGAAATTATAATGGTCATACTAACCTTTCTTAAAAATGAAACAATGGGCCAGAGAGTAAGACTTACAAATCAAATGTCCTTAGTAGGTAGTCTATGAGAGATGAGATGTAGCTCCAGATTTGCACTCTAATGATCACCTATGCCCAACCCCTGGTGCCTTCCTTTTGGAATTACCTCCAATTTACTACAGAAACATATGTATGTATGATGTAGATACACACATGCATGTATATATGTGTGTGTGATGGAGAAAGAGGCAGGAGCAAGAAATAAGTTGCTGAAGCCAAAATTTGTCCCAAATAAGTAGCTGCAAATATCTGGCTCGGGAATCTTTCTGAATAATACAAGAGTGAGGATATAGATAGCGCTTTAAGGTTTACAAAGCAATTTACATGTGATCTCATTTGGCCCTTACAAACAACCCTATGAGCCAAGTGCTATTATTAGCCCCATTTTGCAAATGAGGAAATTGAGGCTGAGAAAAGTCATGTGACTTGCCTAGGGTTACCAGCTAGTAAGTGTCTGAAACAGGACTCAAATTCAGGTCTTCCTAACCCACCCTATCTACAATGACCCTAGCTGCCTCCATTAGATTCTGGATGATCCCTGGGGATCATTCATTTCATCAGGGGATTGTGATATTTTAAGGGGCTGCAAATGCACAGGTGCCTTGTGGCCTCAAGTAAGTGGGAAATGTGCCTTTCCTGTTAACATGCTGGAGAGCCACTATGCAGTCCCGTTTTGTCCTCTGTATGCAGCCCTCACACCCAGCCACCATAGGTCCCTCAAAGAGAAGAAGAAACCTGCTCTGATTAAAATGGGAATCTCTTTTTTCTCTTTCTTGGCATCAACCCAGTAAAAGCACAGGTTTCTACTACTCGCCAGGCATCTCTATTTGAAGAAGCAGATTAAGACTCCCTGAGGATCCTAGGTACCAACATCCTGGCAGCCAAAACCATGCCATTAATTGAACTAGTTGGCAAAACTGACAAGATGACTACTCCTCTCAGATTCATAGCAAGTGACCAGAAGAACCAAGGAAATGGACCATGTGTCTGACATTGCTGCCATTTTCATAGTTCACAGATTTAGAGCTTTGAGATGTCTTTATCCAGCCCCCTTATTTTGCAGATAAGTAAATGAGGCTCGACAGAGACTGTGACCTGCCCAAGGTCACACAGGGAGCAGAGATAGGATTCAAACCAAGGCTTTCTGACCCCAAATCCAGGACCCTTTGCCACCCTACCATGTTCAGTTCTAGTTCTTATACATGTTGCACAAAGTTTGTGTCTCAATCTCCACCTCTCAATTTTAACCCCATTTTAAGAACCCTCAGAAGTTGATTGTTTCTCTAATGCTTCCAGTCACTGGGCCCAGATGCTAATATGGTGGAGGGCAGAGGAAGGAGCTGTTATTCTCCTTCCCTCAAACTAGTCCCTGATCTCTCAGACTACATAAAGGAAAACATTCTGCACAGGAAGAAAGGAAACCAGGCTAGCTTCACTTCCATTAGTTTAGGATTTCCTAGACAGTGCCAATTGCTCAGTATGTGCCTAATATGTTTATTGGATACTCTGGCACTGGCTAGTGAAAAGCTAGAACTCAGCCTTTGGGATTGTACAGTCAGTCAACAAGAATTCCTAAACACCTACTATGTGCCAGGCACTGAGCTAAGTGCTGGGGCTATAAAGAAAGGCAAAGGACAGTTTCTTGCTTCTCAAGGAACTCACCCTCTGAAGAGTTTATTTTCAGTTCCCTCTCTCTGTCTTTGAGGGAAAAAACATATTTCTAGTATTTTTTTTAGTGTATTAAGGGGAGAATGGAACCTATTTGTATTATATTGTGATTGCCCTCTGGCTTTTATGAAATAGAAACTTGATGACAAAATGGTCTTATGAGGCCATAGTGGAAAGAATACTGGTAATGAAGCCAGAGGTCCTAGGTTCAAATTCTGACTTCCACACTTACTACCTATCTGGCCTTAAACAAATCACAACCTCTCTGTGCCTCATCTGTAACATGAAGGGAGTAGGTTAGATGGGCTCGAAGGTCCTTTGAGGTTTCAAAACCCTCTGTAAACGTACTGTAATTAAAAGTCATATGACAAATTTTTGGTGGGCCATTTCCTTTTACTCTGTCCATCACTCCAAATGGGGGCTAGGTGGTCAATTGGCAGTAATTTCATAGGCCCCACATCATCATCTGATTTGACAGATGTTTTGGGTACAGTTTGGGCTATGGCTCTCCCAATAATAAGATGCTGAGATTCTATTCTACTTCCAAGGCTGCCATACTTTCGGTGAGTGCACACACCTGTGCGTTCAACTCTCACTTATCTCCACTGATGTATGCTATGCTTAACCCCACAGATCATGAAAATGGTCAAAGAGGAAGCAGAATCAGAACCAATAATGATTCGAGGACCCAACAACCCAGACCACTAGTGAACTGGTAGGTCACACACAGAGTCAGAATCAGTGCTTCTTGTTCTATTTTGCAAAGTTCTTTTGCCCAGGAAACAAGTACACAGACAGCCCTGTTTATCATTATATAATCAGGCTTCAGTTTAAGAGTAACCATAGGAAGTCTTCTGACCACATGTCTGTATTAAGACCTTTCCTAATACAGGACATACCCTTGTATTGTCTAAACAAGCACAGAGAAAGTAATTTGCAGTGTTTTCAAAGCTCCTGCCATTAACTTACTAGAATTATTTATATGTATATATAGAAGAAACAACCTCATAATGTGCAGTGGACCAGACAGAGTAACTCAATGCACAATACTAAAGGTTATTCATGCAGTTGCAGGGATAATATAATTATTCTGTCACGAATAACGAATGCCTGGATTTATTTACAGACTTTGGAACCTCATGCTACATTTTATTTTACCTCTTTAAAAAAAGTGACCTTTGGAGACACTGAGGTAGCATGCTGCATAGAATGCTGGACTGGAAGTCAGGAAGACCTGAGTTCAAATCCTCCCTCAGACACTTACTAGCTATGTGATCTTGTGCAAGCCACTTAATTGCCTTTTGCCTCAGTTTCCCTTATTATAACATGGGGATAATAATAGTACTTACCTCCCAGGGTTATTATGAGGATCTAATGAGATGTTATCTGTAAAGCTCTTTGTACTTTTTAATTTTGTAATTTTAAAGAAGTATATAAATGCTAGGTATTATTATGATTATTATTTTATTATATTACCCCCATGCTCAATTATGACGTTCCTCCAAATAAAAGGAAGTGAGGAAGAAAGGAGAGAGGGAAGGAACGAAGGAAGGAGGCAATGAGGGAAGGAAGGAGGGAAGGGAGGAAGGAAGGAAGGAAGGAGGGAAGGAAGAAAGAACACATACTTTGAGCAGCAAAGTCAAGTGGAAATGGTAATTGAGTGGGTATACCAAGTTCCAGGAGCAGCTTTGGCATTCTCAATTTTTAACAACAGGTATAAGAGCAGAGGAGTACAGCTGGGACCAAACACTAGAAATGAGCATCAAGGTGTGATTTACAATCAAACTCCATGTGCTACTGCAGAGCCAGGACACAGAATACATCTAAGAGGAGATCTGAGAAATAATGACAAGTCCTGCAGCTGTAGCTTCAGTGCTGCACATCTGAACCTTCACAACTGCATTCAATCTTCTTTCGCTGAGGGAGATTGCCCAGAGGCAGGCAGCTTCAAGGCAGAGGATCCCTTAGGACACCATTATTAGTAGGATCTCTCCCACTGTTGTCAACACCCTCCTGGCCATAAACACATCTCGTATATCTATCTATCTATCTATCTATCTATCTATCTATCTATCTATCTAT